TACCTATAAGTACATCATTCTTTAAAATTAAATAATCTTGATTTTTTTTATTATAAATTCCACAAAAAATATTTTTAAGCAAATTAAAAATACAGAGTATTACGCAGTCTGTATAATAAATTATTGTTGAAAACAAAATARGTAATCGGAAAAAAATATTTTTAAACAGTACAATTATATTACACAACCTAAGAAACTCAATTAATTAAAAAGGTGTTAACGAAAATTCAGTGAGCCGTCAATCAGGATTAATACTTAGTACTCAAAGCTAAAAAATGYATAAATGTATTGGGTACTTGTATATGTAACTGATTATACTGTTAAGTTATAACTAATATTCAAATGGCTGGTCTTTAATTTTCTTATTTCAAAACAAGCTCTGACAAACATAATTATAAAATCAATTAATATTTTCAGTTAAAAAAATAGTGTCACAGAGAAAAGTCATCAAAATCTAAAAGTACTATTAATAAAACATTTKTAATTTAAAATTATTTGAATTATATGTTGCACAGCTCTGTTCAATAATTTAAATAGCGAAATACTTACGATAATATGAAGTCTTCCGTTTTGACAGCTATATTCGTAACATCCAGAGCCCCAATGTTGCCATTGTCTAACTTGTTTGCACGTTTGCTCTTCCCACATCTGATTAGTATGGTCAAAACATTTAGAATTATCTCCGTATACTTCTAATGCAAAGTTCTTATCCGGATCTATATAGAACAAAACAAAATGATCAACTGTGAATTGAGAAAATGAATTACTTGGATAATTATATTATGTTCTTAGGATATAAGATAACTACGATGGAGTATTTATTTTTCTTTTGACTCGACTGTAACTATTGTAAGTATCTATATACTACGAGTTATTTGAATTTCTAAGACCAAGTCCATTATACAAATAAAAATTAGATTATATGCCGGTCATCGATTGGAGATTCACAGGACTTTAAAAATCAACAAGTGTTTACGTTTTGTTATATTAAATACAAATTGACAACGTATTAAATTAAATTTTAACTATACATTTTGTTTAATATTGCATTTCCATACACCTACAACAAGTGGCTATAACCAATAATCTTATACCTTATACATAGACGYATATTATATTACAATTGTTTTATATTCTTTAATACCAAAATTCCATCTAAATTAAATATCATTGATCTGAACAATAGTGATATATACCATTCCAAGTATAATATATTTATGTACTTACGAGGATTATTTTCTGGATACTGACAATGTGATCCTCTTATTACCACACTTTTCGATCTCCATATAAACTCTTGTATGTATGGACAGTAATCCGCAAGACTTACTGATCCTCCATAATATGCTTCACGACCGGATGTTACGTGTGGTATGTAATCGAAGTTCTAAAATA